AAACCCAAGGGGCTGCCCGCCGGGGAGGCACCTCGTGTTTGAGGGCGTTGTCTGGCAAGCCAGCCACGCTCCGGTGCGGGGGGATGTGGGGGGGGAGGCGGGAGGAGGCGGGAGCTGGACCTCGCAGCCCCTGCCCGGCTCCGCTGACCCGTCCCTCCGTCCTTCTCTGCAGGCTGCCTCTGCACCGTCGGCGTCCTGACCTACGGACTGATCAGCTTCCAGAGAGGCAACACCCGTCGGTCTCAGCTGATGATGCGGGCGCGTATCCTGGCCCAGGGCTTCACCTTCGCGGCCCTCCTGGGAGGCATGGTGGTCACAGCCATGAAATCTAGAAAGTGAAATCAGGCAAGAGAGAAGCTGCGGCCGCGGGCCTGCGCCCGCCAGCCTGTGCCCCAGCTGGCAGGGTGGATTCTGGCTGCGGATGGAGTTTTCTGAGAGACAGTTGTGATGTCTCGGTGGAGCCAGTTGTCAGAGAGGCTCTGTGTTCCAGACCACTGGAAATGCGGCTAATACACCTCTGTGATTAACCTAACATTTGGGCCGTGGCATTTTTTGATTCCCTTAGAGCTTATCCTCCTGCAACACTGGAGGCTGCGCCTCACTAAGGCTCTCCACCCCCGTCAGACCTCTTGTCCCTGCTCGGTGCTGTCACGGTCTGTTAAAATTGTGTCCTGTGGGTCGTGGTCTGCACTGAGGTGTGGCTTTAGTCAGGCGGTGCACCAACATTTGAGAAATGAGCTGCCCGGGTAGGAAGGAACAGCTCTGTTTATGGCTTGATCCTGGCAGGACAGAGTTCACGAGCAGCGGGTGAGTTGCCTGGGGACAGTATGTAATCTGTTTGGTTGCAACTGGTGAGTAATAAAGTGAATTGCAGTGAGATTCTGACTGATACTGGATTGCAGAGCATTGAGAAGCCAGAAGAGTAAACAGTGTAGGAAGGAAGGGGAGCAGGCACGGCTGCCTTGAAGCTGTGGTGATGCAAGCAGGACACAAGAGAGGTAACTCCCTGTGAAAACAACTTGGGAACTTGCATTTCCGAAACAGGGCCTGGCCGCGTTCTCTGGGACGTGCTGCTGCTTTGGCTGCTCTTGCCGGGGAGTCGGTTCCTGCGCAGCTCGCTGCTTCACGTGAGCTGGAACTGGCTGCTGAGCAAGTGCCCTGTTCCCAGAGGGAGCTGCACTGCCTGTGTCGTGACAACCATCGTCACGGGCGGCTCCAAGTCCTGCCATTGGTGTTGGAACACTTGGATCACACCAGGGGTGTTCAGTGAGCAGCGAGGCTAACAAGACTTTGCTCTCCCGTGTCAGGGCCGCAGAGCGGGGAGGAAATGGGGCCGTAGGCTCTGTTTGCTGTGTGGCTGCGGCGGCTTGTCCCTACCTGTAGGCAGAGCGTATCTCTGCAGGGGAAAGGGGCACAGACACTACTAACTGCACTGCAATGTTGAGCTGCCTGGGGCGTTTCCAGGCTTTGCTGTCTGGGTGTCTGCACATTGGTGCCTGCGCCCCGGCCCTCCCTGACCTGCAGTGGCTTTGCAGCTGGCTGCCTGGCAGCTTGCTGATCCTGCTTCGCCCTTACAAGCAGCTCTGGAGGAGAGGGTGAGGGGTAAACTCACTCTGCCCATGAACGAGCGCTTGGTTTGTCCCATCTGGGGAACCATGCTGGTGGGCCTCGACAAGGACAGGGTGAAGGCTCTCGCCCACCAGAGCTGAATTCTGAAATGCGAGGGTGGGGGACAAGCCGTTGCCGGTGCCGAGCGGTGTGAGCTCCACCTCAGCACGAGGGAGCCCGGTGCTCTGCCTGCTGTGGCACCGTGGCGCTGCCTGCCTTCCCTGGTTGGCTGCCTGCTCAGCACGTCTTTCCCAGGAGAAGCTGCTTTTGGCTGCCTCGCTGGCACTTCCAGCCCAGCCAGCTTGGGGCAGGGGCGTGAGGCAGCTGGTGGGCAGATCTGCGAGTGCAATCCCTTGGCAGCCCTGGCAGCCTGGAGACGGGCACAGTGGGCTGGGGAGCAGCTCAGCCCATCTGGACAAGCAGGAGCTTGCAGCTCCCTGGGGGCAGAGCAGAGCCCCCCTGGTCCTGCTGCCAGCGCTTCTGCCCCGGCCTAGCGCAAACCCTCTGGCCCTTCCCCTCGTTCCTCTTTTTTCCTGTAGGACGTGGCTCCTCCAGCCCCATCCTTTCCGCAGGAGGCTTCGTGGCTGTGGGTTCTCCTAAACACACGCGTGTGTATTGCTGAAGCAGAAAGATGACAGCGCCCTGTAGGATTGGAGTTGTCGGTTTATTGAAACAGGTGATTTGAACAGTCACAGATACCAAAGCTGAGGGGATGTAGAACAGCTGTGGGCATGGCTCCCCGGGAGCTGGCTGCCCCTGCCTGACATGGGGTGCACAGCAGCCGGGGCACCCAGGGGCCCGGCTGCCTGCAGGGGCTGGAGGGACAGAGCGCAGGGGGGCTCTCCGCCCCTGGGAAGCAGCCAGAGGCGCTTCCCGCTGCTCTGCAGTGAAAGGCGGAGGCAGGCAGCCAAGTCTCGAGGTATCATGCATCCGTGTCCATCCCGCACTGCAGCAGAGCTGCCTACGCATGCTGGAGCGCAGGGGGACAGAGTAAGAGCGATCAGCCCTATGGACAAGGTGGCACAATCCCAGCACACAACACCGAGTGACTCCCTGTGCACCCATTTCCCTTCCCTTCCCAGCCCACTGCTGAGCCTGTGCCCCAGAGCCAGGGGTGCCCGGTCACCCCACGAGGGCTGCAGCAGCAGGGCAGGTGACCTTCCTGACTTGAGTCATAGCTGCAGGGCGGGAGAGCTCTGCATACTTGCTTTTTGGCTGAGCAGGGCTCTGCAGTGAGGCTCAAGCAAATGTTTTGTGGGCTCTGCTACGTGTCCCCCCAGCCCACCGCTGTGAGCCCTTCCCAAGCCCCCGGCAGGCCAGATCTGGGGCACAAGCTCCAGACTTCACCACAGCAGGGTGCACGCAGGCCTGCCCCTCTCCTGCTACGCAGTTTTGCAGGTTTCCAGGGCTGGGCCTCCGAGCCGGAGGGGCTGGTGCCGGCCCCACCAAGCAGAGGAGAGAAAGCCGGTGTTCGGGCTGGAAAGTCTGCGGGGGCGGGGAGTGGGCCTGAGGAATCTCGCCACGCTGCTTTAGGTGTGCAAATCCAGCAGGGGGCTAGAGAGAAGCCACAAAGCAGCTGCAGACAGATGTGCAGCTTGTTCTCCAGGGACAGCACAAGCCCCAGCACCAGAACTCTGCCCAATCCTGCTCTGGGCCCCTGGGTTAGGGAGCTGGGGGCTCAACCTGCCCCACAGCAGCTGGACCTTCCTTTGTGCTTCCCTGCAACCACACATCCTCCATCTCCCACCCTAGTAGCAGGGGAAGCAGCAGAGCAGAACTAAGGGCCCCCAAAGCCTGGCACCCCACATTCCCAACTGCTGGTGGTCTTGGGGAAGGGACAGGAAACATCCTCCACACTCACCCCATGGCCCCTTCCCAGTGCCCTGCGCCACCATACTGCCTGGCACCAGTAGCCCCCAGGATGGACGGGACACGGACACTGCAACTGCTGCTCGGAGCCCCACCAGCTTTTTGGGGTGCACAGCCAGGCTGGGGAGAGGTCTGCTGGGCTTGGGGCAACTGCTGGCAGTCCCAGCCCAGCCTGGGTGCCTGCACTCACATTCCTCAGTCCCTGCTAGCCCAGGAGCATCACGCTGTGGCTGTGCTCCCTGCAGGACCTTGCAGTGCGGAGCTGAGTCAGGACTGTTTCTCCACCCTCCCAGCCAGCTCTGCTCTAAACCCTGCTGGAAAGGCAGAGGGGAGGCCAGGGGTCCCACTAGGATTGCTGCCTTGGGGCTAGGACCCAGGCCCAGACACGGGGCTGCCATGCCTGCACTCGCCCAGCGCCAGGACAGCCACAGGCGGGTTTATTCCCAGCACAGGGGTGAGGTGGGGAACACGGGGTGGGGTGTTCCCCCTCTCACTCAGCCAGGCCCCTGGGCACAACCTCCCGCAGAGCCCAGGCCGGGGGCTCCGCCGCTAACTCAACTCTGCCACCCAGTGTCGCTTCTCGGGGAAATGCCACAGTAATAAATAAGTGTAAAAAGAGACCGATGCACCTTTTAAGCAAAGGAAAACCATGGGGAGAGTTACAACCAGTGACTCGAGCACAGCCGAGGCGTACACCAGGGAGCAGGGGGCAGGCAGGGTGAGGCCCCTCGTGGGCTGGCCCCACAAAGCCGCCCTGCTCGGTGAGCCTGGCCTTGCTCTGCTGCACTCCTGGCTGTGCCAGGCAGCAGCTAGCGGGACAGGGGCGTCTGTTTGAGGGAGATGAGCACCGAGCGCATCCGCGAGACATCCTTGCTCTGCTTGCTGCTCTTGGGGTTGAAATCACAGAGCTGGGCCACCTTCTCCCACTCGGAGCCCGGGGTTTCCTCCTTGGACTCCTTCAGGAATGCTTCCTCCGAGGCCCTGCGGAGATGTTGAGGGTTGTGACTGGCAGATCCCTTTCCAAGGAGACCCTCCCCTCTGTCTGGGAACCCCTCATGTCCTGGCTTCTTGTCCCCTTGCTCCAGCCGATGAGCTCAGGATCCTCCGGGATCCAGAGACACACGATGCTCAAGGCTGCTGTTGGCTGCACTCCCCCAAGATATCGTTCATCCAGGGGCACGGGGGTGTCTGCCTGCTCCCAAGACTTCTCCACCCCCCAGAGCTGTCCCCCAAAAAGCACAAGACCCCACAGCTTTGCCTCTTCAACCAGCCCCCACAAGGGCATTTCCAGGAGCTCCACTTGCCTCCTAAGACTCCACCATTTGGAGACACTCAGCTGCAGCATCCTCCCTCCAGGACCTCACCAGGGCCCAGTACCTCCCAGCTTCCCCCCCTTCCCTTGGCTGGGCAGCCAGTGCTGGGGCCAGGACCCCCAGACCCTGTGGGGCAGGATACAGTCTATAAGAGGCACATACACATAGCCAATCACATCGGCGTCCGGCTGCTGGTAAAAGGCTTTGTCAGCGATCCTAGCCCCCGAGGCACAGAGAGAGAGAGAACGCAGAGCAGACAGGCAGGCAGAGGGTTAGAAAGAGAGAAACAGAGAGGGGGTTAGCGTCCTCCTGCAAGAGTGTGACCATCACAGCATACACGGCACCAGGAAAACCTGCCGGTGACAGCAGGGCTGCGCAGACAGTGCCCCAAACCTGCCCTGATGCGAGGCCCACACGAGGGGCAGGAGGCACTGAGATCCCACTGTGATCCCAGTGTGGTCCCAGCCAGGGTGGCTCTGCACAGCCACCAGAGCCGCTCAAAGCCCCGGGGCCTCTCCCCTTGCCTGGCAAAGCTCCGTCCCCGCAGGGCTGGGCCCCGCTGTGGGGCAGAGGCCCCCAGACATCCCAGGAAGGCAGATCTGGCTGCACAGCAGCTCCCGTTGCAGCCCTTGCAGCCACGCTGAGCCTAACATACCTGTTGTTTGCCCAGTTCTTCTCCATCTGCTCATTCTGACGCAGGTTCCACTCCTCCAGGTCCTTCTTGGCCTTCTCACGCCATTCCTGCTCAGTCACCTTTGATGCCGCATCTAAGGCCAGGGCGAGACAGACCCCATCAGCCAGCTGGGCAGCCCCTTGGCAGGCAGGACAGCTGCAGCCCCCCAGGCCTGTCCCTGATCCCAACTAGTACTGTCTGAAAGGCGTCACTGCCCCAAGGACAGCAGATCCTTGGCAGGGGCACCCACAGGGCATGGGGCACGAGACACCTCTCTGGGATGCAGCAGGGTCACCGCCAGGTGAGGGACCCCGAGGGCCCTGACTGCCATGTCACAAGGTGCCACGAGCGTGGCCACACACAGCCTTGGGTCTCACCCAGCTCCTCGAGGCGCTTCTTCTGCTCCTCCCTCCACTTGCGGATGCTCTCAGGTTCCTGGGTCAGCCGGTCAGCCTTGGCTATGGCTGCGTAGGCATCTGTGGGGCCGTTGGACTCCTGCAGGACACAAGCACCTCACCATCAGCACCAGCTCCTCCCACAGCCCAGCCCAGCCACCTTGAAGGGCTGGCAGCAGGGCAGGACTCCACGCTCCCAGCACTCGGACAAGCCAAGACAGGAGGTAGGGAAGGTGACAGCCTGGGACATCTGGGACAGTGTCCCCAAAGCGCTGCTCAAGCTGCTGTCCCAGCTCCCAGGCCCTGCCACCCAGAAAGACTTCCCAGCATTCCCCTCCTTGACTTGCTGCTCACTGCCAACACAGCTCTCGCATCCCCTGGGCAGCCCCACAGCAGAGGACAGCCACCAGCTTTGTGACATGCTCCTGTCGTGGTTTAACCCCAGTTGGCAACTGAGCACCACACAGCCGCTCGCTCACTCCCCCCCGGTGGGATGGGGGAGAGAATCGGAAGGGTAAAAGTGAGAAAATTCATGGGTTGAGAAAAGAGTAGTTTAGTAATTGAAATAATAGCATAATAATAATAATAATAATTGTAATGGAAAATAAAACAACGAGAGAGAGGAGAAAAAAAAAAACAGGGAAAGGAAAAAGATTGATGCAACCGCTCACTACCCGCTGACCGACAGCCAATCAGTCCCCAGGCAGCAATCGCTGCCCCCCGGCCAACTCCCCCCGGCTTATATACTGAGCATGACGTCACATGGCATGGAATATCCCTTTGGCCAGTTTGGGTCAGCTGTCCTGGCTGTGCCCCCTCCCAGCTTCTTGTGCACCTCCTCACTGGCAGAGTATGGGAAGCTGAAAAGTCCTTGACTTAGTATAAACACTGCTTAACAACAACTAAAACATCAGTGTGTTATCACATTATTCTCATGCTAAATCCAAAACACAGCACTGTGCCAGTTACTAGGAAGAAAATTAATTCCATCCCAGCCGAAACCAGGACAGCTCCCCACCAGCACCTGGCTTCCCTGGCCCTGACTTGGGCCGAGGCAGCTCCAGGACTGAGTGTCATTACAGGCTTGGCCACAACAGACAGGGACAGCCCAGGTGAGAGGCAGAGCCCAAGGGAGGTACAGCTCTCTGCCTCCGAGCCGAGCTGCCTGTGTGGCTCCTGCCAGGCCCAGCACCACGCTGGCTCAGCACCTCTCCTAACACCTTCCGCTGGCCAGGATGCCCAGCCTGACACCGAGCTCAGCAATGGGATTACGGCTTTCCTCCAAGATTCCCAATCTAATTAAGTCTGTCCCATCTCTAATGTGATTATCATCCCATAAACTAGGCACGGGCAATGCACATGCCACACTGCTAGGCACTGAGTGGGGCGAAGGGCTTGTCAGATGCTGGCACAGCTTCTCCTGTAGCCAGCAGAGCTGGGCTTCGGGCTCCCAAAGAGAGCTGACACCCAGGCGGGTGGCCCCCATGAAACACCCTTGGCCATGGGGCAAGTGAGTTTAATGGGAGGTGCTGCCAGGACTTGGCAGCAAGGCCACAGCAAAGCAAGTGTCCCATGGCAGCCCTGTCCTGCCTCTGGACTCTAAGAGATGCTCCTGACTGCCCCGGAGGCCTCCAGGAGCTACCCAGGCTGGAGAGAGGGGGCTTCTGTGGGGAATGGAGGATTTGTCATCTGCTCTTAGGGCCCAGGCACTCCTTCAGGACACAGGCCACCTGCAAACAGATTTGGGGCAGGTCATGGCAGGTGGGACCAATCTTCTCTTCAATGAGGGGTGAGAATGGAGCAGCCAGGACTCCCCCATGAGACCCAGACCTTCCCAGGAGCACCATAGCTGTTCTGGGGCTGGATAGCAAAGTCCAGTCAATCCTGGGGGCAGAGCAGCAGAGTGCTGGCCCCATACCCACCCAATCCCCCTTAGCATTGCTGAGCCAGGGCAAGGGGCTGAGCTCTCACCTGAAAGACATCTCCATTGACAGTGGCTCCTCCATTCTGGAAACCAGCTAGAGAAAAAGGAAGAGAGAAAGACAAACACAACTATGGCAGCTGCAGGTGTTCCCAGAGGGGCTGGTGTTCATGAAACTGAAGCAAATCAGTTCCTGGGAGTTTGGCTGTGCCATTTCCAGCCCAGCACACCCATCCACAACAGCCCCACATATGTGGGCCAGGCCCCATGGTCTCCTGTCCTTGGTGGGATTCAGCCAGCACTTCTCTCTCTCCCAGACAAGCCTCTTGGGGCATTTATGTCTTTATGGCGTTTTCACTGGTGTTTTATCTTATCTGAAGATTACGGAAATTGTTCCAGGCACGGGGCTGGACACAGGCAGGTGCTCTGACTGTAGAAAGACAACCTGACCAACCCCAACCTGCAAGCAGCTAGGCAGAGGCTGCCGATGGACACAGACAGCTGACCCAGAAATGTCAGCTGAGTGCCCAGCAGCACAGGGCTGCGACGGGAAGGCAACCCTGCCAGGGACAGAGCCCACAGAAACACTGCAGTGTGCTCCACCAGGAGAGGAGGGTAGGAGGGCATGCCAAGGTCCTCGAGAGCCCACCTGGGGGCACGTCCCTGGGACGAGCTGCAAGTTAGGGCTGGGAATGAGGCACCACTGAAACCCACAGCTGGGGTACAGCCCCATCTCCCCCCCAGCCCAAGCTGCACACCAGGGCCACAAGGCCAGCCCCGTGCAGGGCTCTCCGCTGCTAGGCAGAGAAGAGGCTTTGAAGGAGGCAGACTCTAGGCTCTGAGCTGCCACAGCTCTGATGACCACAGGGCTTCTACCGGTCAGCTAGCTCCAGGCACAGGCAGTTGCACAGCCACAGTGCAGCTCAGGCAAGCGCCATCCCCACAGTGCCCCCCCAGCCACAGTGCAGCTCAGGCAAGCGCCATCCCCACAGTGCTCGCCCCCACGGTGTGGCTCCGACTACACCCAGCTCCAGCCTGTCTGACTGCATTTATCACCACAGCTGTCAACACCTCGCTGGGCCCAGGTCTGCCTCCGCAGCCCTGTGTGCGGAGAGGTGAAACCACTGCTCCACAGCCAGCACAAGGAGGCCCTGTGGGCCTGGGTTAGGGGAAGGAGTCAGAGTACTGTGGCAGCAGCGTCCCTAAGTCCATGTGGAGAGCAGACCCCGGGCCCCTGCTACGTACCAAAGGCCCCACGGACTGGAGGCAAGAGATCAAGATTAGCACCTTCTACCTGCAGGGCCTGGGACCACAATGTCCCCAATGGAAATGCCTTCCATTTTGCACCCCAAAGGGCTCTCCTGCCTGTGGGGACAGTGACAGGGTTGTCATTGCTCCTCAGCTCTGCCTGGATGCCTCTCACTTTGCCCTAGCTGGGGGCACTGAGACACAGAGACAAGGGTCCATCCAACCCAAGGAGCCCAGCCTGAGCACACGGGGGAGGAATAGCCCCACAGCTGGCAAGTTCCAGCTCAGGGTTCCCCCCACATCCTGAGGCTTGAGAGGGAACCCCAACATCAAGCCCTTTGGGACCAAGCACAGGCCCTGGATAGTCCTTGTTGGGATGTAGGCCTGGTCCATTGGAGAACCCCATCACCTGCCCATTGGGGATGCAGCATGGACCCCATCACCCACTGGGGGTGCAGTGCATCCCACGGGGAACCCCAGTCCCACGGGGGGTGCAGCCTGGCGGGCACCCCTCCCTGTCCTCGGGGCAAGAGGGGGCACAGTCCTCCTTTACACCCACGGGGTGGCAGCCCCCCTCCGTGCCCACCGGGCGCGCAGCCAGGAGAACCCCGCGGGCCCCCGGCCGTGCCAGCCCGGCGCAGCGCGGCGCTCACCCGGTTCCGGCGGGGCTGCCTGCCCGGC